GGTCAGACGATTGTTCTCGAACGAATACCGAGGTCAAATCATCGGATAGCAGCGCGGCAAAAGCAAATCCGGACCTGAACAAGGCAACAGGAAGCGTTGGTCGAGCAGGAGATCCAATCCCACCTTTCGAGAACAACATGATTCGTCAACGGATTGACCGCCACGGAAGGATCTATCCCCTCGCCGAACCGCAAGAACTACCAGCCTTGCAAATGCCTCCAGACCAGGTGGGGGTAGTAAAACCCGGTCCTGTACGGGAATGGCTTGCGGCCAAAAAGATTTGGGACACAAAATATGCCTCAACGAGGAGCAGAGTGCAAAAAGAACGAGTTCGGGCATTATCGAGTGGAAAGATCAAGGCCTTTGAGCCCGGCGAACACCCTCCACCGTGCGCTCTCGCGAGCCGGCGGACGGACAAGGACCTGATTGTCAAGAAACAGAAACGGAGCTACGGGCTCGCAATGTGGAGTATGTGGGGAAGCAAACATGACGAGTCGGTGCTGAAGAGGGAAGAAGAGGCCGCGGAGGTGGAGAAATCGGAGGATAAACTCCTAGGACGAGAGGGCGAGGGAGGGACCTCACCCGCTGATGTCGATCGGGAGCGATCTTCGACACGTTGGCGAAGTCATAGCATGAAGCGGAGCCTAAGTGCAAAACGGACGGCCAGCGAATCCAAAACCCGAGGCAGGAAACGCACCATCTCGGTCACGGACAGAGGCCAAGCTGAAGGTCGTTATGTTCCCCCAGTTGTGATTCCGTCAGGTTCCCCAAGTTCTGCAGAGCTACTCAACACGGCAGGAGACCAACAATCGGCTCCATCCGGGCACATAGCTTCGCCTGAATCATCCCTTCTCTCTGCAGGCTTCATTCCAAAGTTTAAAACAGCAACACACCTTCGTGATGACAGCGGCGGACAACACGGGTCTGTGATGTCCGATGCTGCGAGCACAATGACTGGCCGTAGCGGGATCGCGGCCGATGATGCCAGCACTCGTGCGGTATTTGCCGTGTCAGGTATCTCAAAGAGCCTCGACTCACAGGAAATGGAGAGGGCAAAGTCATCAAGTCCAGATCCGAACACAAGACCAGGAAGTCCCTTAGCAAACGAAACAAGAAGTTTCGTTTCCGGGAGTGAAGACTTCAATGAAGGTGCCGCGAGTATAAATGTCGGCGTTGATCGAGGCACCCTTATTTCAGGGAGAGCGCGCATTGGGCCTTTTGGAAACGATACACCTCGAAGCCACCGCAGTCTGGAGCGGTTACAAAGCCACCAACGCGACGAAGGAATGGATCGTCTGGCTCCGCTCAGAAGCCCAAGCTCCACTGCTATTGTGAAGGCAGAAGGCGTGGTTGGTATGGTTGACAATGCAGAGCATTCGGGAACAGGGGCAGTTGAAGACCACGAGAGCGAAGAAGATCAGGCAGACAAAAAGAAGGAGGTAAATGGAATAGTCAAAGAAGAGGCAGCCAGCGTGCAGGAAGGATCAGTCGGAAGACAAGTTGATGGGGTTATATCTGAGCGGCCCAAGATGTATGAGAGGACGGAGACAAAGTTCCAAACGGCGATGGAGAGTCTGTCTTGAAGCCACCTCAAGATTGGATAAAAACAACAACACCATCTTATACTGTTGTCTGCCTGCCATGTTTATCCTTGCTTATCAAGTCTTGGACCGATGTCCATGTGCAGAGCTAGCTATTCGTGTTTCGAGATTTGTGGCACATTTTTCCTCATAATTGCTATCTGGAAATATCAGACCAAAGATAGGAAAATTGAAGAGAAGATCATCCGATTGAACAGCCAAACCCACCCACGTTCTTCGAGAGCTATATACCCACGAGGTATGGATCACATGGAATGGAATGGCACCAGTCGAAGTTCTATACGTCTTGGCGCTTAGTCATTCAGTGCAACCAACCCAGATGGGTGCCAGATGCACCTCAGTCAGACGATCCTCTTTCCCCGACAGACACCCACACACCTCACTGACTTCTCATGCCTAGTGATATGTACCTACCTGTTAGCTTCACAACACCGACAACTCCGTTACTAGCCTTGTAGTGCAGACACAACAGAGCAAGCAGCCGGGCATGCATAGCCACTCACCCACCCATTGCGATTTGTTCTCCCCTTCTGCGCCCCAATACGATAAACCTTCGCCCGCAATTAAACAGCGCCAAGCCTAATCAATCCTCTTTCAACGAAGCCCGATGTCCAGAGGATCCCGAGATGATGCGACTCGATGTCGACACTACTCTCGTCAAAGCAGCCCAAAGTGCAGCCAGCTACTGCAGCATTTCAAAGCCACCAATTGGGAGTTGCGCATCAAAGTGCGACCGCCTGGGGCTGAGACGCCAAAGGCACCTAACTAGCGAGGCAGACACCGCAAATCATGCAATCCAGGCATATTCCGACCGGGAACATGCTCACGTGTATTATTGGCTCTCAGCCTCATCCAGATTCATGTGCACTTGGACGACTTCAATAATATCAGAGGTGTAGAGTTCAAAAACCCTTTCAGGGATTGAGATGGCGGCGGAGGTCGTGCTAGGCGCTGTCGGTCTCCTCCCGGTAATACTCGAGGTTCTCAGGTCCTATCGAGACATACACGATAAAGTCCGCACTTTTCGAAACTGTTGTCAAGAATTCGCCTGGATCCAAACGCAGCTGAAGACGCAGAAGCTCAAATTCTTCTACAACTGTGAACGCTTGATTCGGATCAAATTGGAGCAGAATGAGGAACTGGAAGACCTGATCGACCTCTCGACACAAAAATTCTGGTTTGATGAATCTGCGAATAAACGAGTGCGCGATTCGCTCGGTCGCGTAACAGTCGACCTGCTGCAGGACATCGTGGCAGAAATCCAAACCATCCTCAATGATTTCGACAATGACCTTCAGTGCCTCGACGTCATAAAGTCTAAGAGAGTCGTGGTACTGTCCTCATCTATCATTCCCCTGCGGGACTATTGCTAACACAGGACATCTCAAGGGTGAATCTCTACAAAAGGCATTCCATCGTCTTCGTCAAGGCTTCACCATTGTCTTCGAAAAGTCCCGATTCTCTAGGAATTTGGACCGGTTGCGAAGTCGCAACGAGGAACTCAAAAGTCTCATTGAAGACTCGATCGACTGGTCCTTCCATGAGCAGCGCCAAAGACCTACCAAATCAAAGGATGCCATCAGATCATCAGTTACCGAATACAATATCGTGCAGCGCGCCGCAGGGAAACTGCACGAGGCGCTGAACGAAGCATGGTGTTGCAATGGCCTTGGCCACACTCATCATTACGCAAAGTTATGCGTTGGTGTACAGGTCAATAGAGGAGTGCGATTGGATCTGGCGATTTCTTACGGCAAGCATGGCGCACAGGACACTGGAAAGTGCGCGCTCCGTGGCTCCTATTACTTTTGACCCTAGCTAATGTGACATTTGATAGCTATCCTGCTGAAGAACATCCCACGTGGTTATACATCCAATCATCGACCACCGAAGCTGGATCTGCCATAGCAAGCCAAAAAAGAGCGCGGTCTTCAGAAGAGAGTGATACCGAGAGGGATTCCCCTCATGCAAGGGTCCGCTATCATGCAGCGAAGGTATCCGCAGGTGACCACCACCCAAGTCGACATGATGCAAGTGGCCCATCGAACCTTCTCGGCTCCTGCGCACCCTCATCCATTTCCGGCCCTGCCACAGGGGCAGATACCATATTCGTTGACCTTTGCCAGTCGGACAATGTGTGCCGCCATCTGACCGACAGCCCTGGCCTTGGGCCCGACGACAAGTCAAGCCAGTGTTTAGGCTATCTGGAGAGCTCAGATCAATTTAGACACCTATTCTACTCCCCTAAGCCCGAGGAAGCACTGATATCTCAAACTACGGCCGCTCCGTCTCGACGATTCCTGACCTTGAACGAGGTTTTTCGTCTGACTGATAATACGACCTTAGATCCCCGCTACAAAGTTCAACTTGCCCTCAACTTGACAAAGGCTGTGTTATGTTTCCATCAGACTCCTTGGCTTCGAGAAGGCTGGCAGATTAACGACTTTGCATTCTTTGATCACCGGACGAAACTCTCAGACATTCAGTTCAACACTCTCCACTTGACGTCGCAGTTGACAGAATGCAGTGCTCAACCACCATCGCTTTCATCAGCAATGGAAGGTGTTCAGACACAGTCTCAGCTGTCTTTTCCCCCAACGCCGCACCTTGTCTTCGATCGCGGTGTAGACAACCTCACACTCTTTAATCTGGGGGTAGCCCTACTTCAGATTGTTTGCTGGAAGCCTCTTGGGGAGCTTGGTCAAGGGCAAAATCTCGATGACATACACTTGGCTCGGAAGATATCCCTGTCTGACCAGGCCTCAGTTTTGGGTCCCAAGTTCAAGGATATTGTTCGGAAATGCCTTCGTTGCGAGTTTGGTTCCGGCACCAATCTGGAAGATGAGAATCTGAAAGGAGCTGTTGCAGCACACGTGATCCCAACCCTGGAGTCAATGATGAAGGCAATGAGCATCTAACAGGTGAATATCTGGAGTCTGTGGATCCAAATGATAGTGTGCGACTACATAGCAAGGTGTTTGAAAGGTTGGCGTCAGGACGATGGGTCCAGTATCTAGTATAAAGGAGCCCCCAAAGTCGGATGCCGCACAATGAGCATTTGCGTACGTACACCCAAAACTCGATACTACATCGAAAGCGCAGAATGATGTTCAACCTTTGGGGCAAGGCAAGGTGATCAACTAGAGTCCAAGGCTGAATGAGGCTGACACGCAGAGAACGCTGAAATTCAGCCTTACTGAATACGAGGACCTACGCGACAAAACGAGTTCTTGGCTTGCTGCCTGATTAACAACTACACTGTTCTTGATTTGAAGCCACTTAACTGCTCGTTGGGTCTTTGGTAGTCTTCTAGACTCTCGATACTCCTCTTTGGTACTGCAGTCTTTCTGCGGCCATCGCTCATTCTCTATATCACGGAAGGTCCGTCCCCATCTCTTCATGGTCGATCTTTCCAAGCCTCACCGCATCATCGGTGAGGCTGCCAGGAGCTTTGAATCACTATTGTCTCCCAGTGATGCACGTTTATTCGAGAAGACTACGCTCGCCGATGTGCAGGAAGCTGCCTTGACCATCCAGCGTGCGCAGGCAGACAGAAAATCCCTTCGAAACATCGCACGACTAGCTGGATTGTTTATAGCGTTGCCAGCATTCGCTGCAGTTCTCCAACCCCTTTGCCCAGAACCTGCATGCCTCAACTTTCTATGGGTACTTCATACCTTTATCTGATATCATATGGAGAAACTTCTAACATCCTCAAGGCACCAATCGGTTTATCCTTGCATGTGAGTCTCATACTAAACGAATCCACGAACTGTGAGGTGAGTTGTTAAGACTGACACAAGCATCTTCCGGCAATCTAGATTGCAGACGGCTATGCCTCTGCCTTGGATCAACTCATCTATGCGTACCAACAAATCGCAGAACACCTTCCCCTCTTCGACCGTCTGACCCCTCTGCTTCTCCAGGATGAAGGTACACAGTCAATGATCGCTCACGTCTATGGTGATATACTGGAGTTTCATTATTGCGCTTATCGACTGCTGCGTCAAAACTGTGAGTTGGCTAAAGGTCTCTTCACTTGGTCCTTCTGACAGTATATCAGCCTGGAAAGTACTATTCGATGCCACCTGGAAGAATTTCGCACTTCGTTTCAATGGGATCCTTGAGAGGCTTGGCAAGAGCAGAGACGTCCTTGCTGCAGGAGTAGACAGCATTGCCGTCCTGGCAGACGAAACTTTTCGTCAGGAGGTTCTTGATCGGATGACCCGGTTGGAAACTGAAAGGGACACCTTGCAACTACGAAATGTTCTCACTTGGCTGAATGGAACACGGCTGGATGAGGATCAAGAATCAGTACTGCAAAACCGTTCAATTGCCCGCCAGCAAGGGACGTGTGAATGGATTTTGGAAAATCCTAATTTGCGATCATGGCTGGATCCCGAAGACAATCGACCCCTTCTTTTGCTGCACGGAAAACCGGGCTCAGGTATGTCAAATTGCTTTAGGCCCCCAACTGGCTAATTTCATGTCAATAGGGAAGACGACCATTGCCGCCTTTCTGATAGAGAACGGTCCCTGGCCAGCCAATAGTACCCTCCTCTACTTTCTCTGCCCTGATGAATCCCCGCGTCCTGGATTCAGTGCAGACAGCCAGATATTGCAATGTTTGATTGCACAACTCCTCACCAAGAATCGGGCCCTCGTTCCATATCTTCACGATAGACTTACTTCATCATCTCAGAGCATGATGACTCTGCTCTCGGAGCTGCTACGAGCTACTGGGTCTGCGTTCCTGATCATCGACGGGCTTGATCAGTGTGAACCGGAGAGTCACGCCTCTATCCTGGCAAAACTGGCTGGTCTCTGGTCATTGAAGGAAAGCAGCAGTCCAGACCGTGCTCTGGTTAAAGTTCTCGTTTGTTCAAGATCGACGGTGGAAATCTACTCAAAGTTGGGGAAATTCCCCGGAATCTCTTTGTCCGACGAGACAAAGTCGATATCGGAAGATATTGCCATTTTTGTAAAGAAAACCCTTGCTCCCTTGCATGACTTGGACTGTGCAGATGTGGTAGAGGAGATGGAGCAGATGGTGGTCGCGCAAGCTGACGGTGAGTATGTCCCCTGGTGGCATTCAGACCAGTGGGCTGATTTCTATCAAGGAGTGTTTCTGTGGGCGAAGCTTGCTGTTGCCCAATTGCTCAGCCAGCATACTGTAAAGGGTTTGCACGCTGCGTGGGCCAAACTGCCGCCTGGGCTTTCGGAATTGTAGGTTGTTTGTGCATCCTTGTTCTAGGGTAACTGACTTTTACAATCCAGATATACCGTTATTCTCCATCGACTTCAGGACTGCGATGAGCAACAAAAGCGACACATCAATCATGTTCTTGGGTTGCTGGTTGTTGCATATCGACCTCTAAAAGTCTGGGAGGTTTGTGATGCGATGCTATTGCAGGATGGCCAGTTGCCACTCAACAGCGAGACAAACCTCCTGCACGACATCATCGACATGTGCAAACCCTTTGTTGAGAAAGGGAATCATCAGACTATCAGACTGGTGCATGGGTCTGCCAAAGAGTATGGGGATATCTGTAGAGAATGATTGAAGCTGACATGATCACAGCTACCTGTTGACCGAGTTGAACGGTTCCTGTATACAGCTCCAGCAAGCACACATCAATATTACACAAGCTTGCATACGATGTTTGACAACTTGTCATCCATTCACCAAAAGCGAAATATCACCAGAATCTCAGAAGCAGATCGTGAAAGGAGATTACGATTTTGTTTTCTACGCGTATGAGTACTGGATTTATCACCTAAGAGAGTCGTTCCGGAGTCACACGTCGGCAGCTTCGAAGGATCTCGCTGATGTTAGGAAAACAATATGTCACATGGTGTTTGATATGCTGAAGGCCATGAACCAATCTCGGCTGGACAAGGCATTCCTTGACAACGTCGAGGCCCTAAAGGACAGACTCAATACCCGGGGATCAAATCTCGAGGATATTCTTAGACCGATTCTACGTCCACTTGCTAACCAAACGTTATTCCTTCCACGTGGATTCGATCCGGTCCCACACCCAGGTAGTCAGCGGAGCTCAAGCATCCTCGACATCGCGTTCACCAACTTCCAGAACGCCTTCGAGGAACTATACGAAGCTGGTTCCTCCTTTGATCCCTCCAGATTAGGTATCGCAGTCACGGATCTGGACAGTTTCAAGACACGTTACAGCCCTACTCCGTATCTATGTCGCTACTGTGAGTGCGATGCGGGCGCTGTTGGTTTCACGAGCGCTCCGGAGCGTGAAGAGCACGAGCTATTCCACCGAGGATTTTTCGGCTGTACTGAGCCTGCATGCGATTTCCGTGTCCTTAAATTTGCTTCTTGGATTGATTTACGAAGGCATGTGGAGAACTACCACGGCGACAAAGATGCACCATCACAGACATCTCACGCGAAAGGCAAACGACCGAGACACGGAAGTTTGCTGCCTCTATCCACCACTAAAGGCAAGGCTGGCGAGCTCAGGACGAGAGATCCTACACATGAGTTGCTACGTGAATCTGAGGTCGGCACACTGGCTCGGATCTTTCGAAGCTGTGTCAGACTACTCAAGTCGATGGTAACCATCCTACGGGAATCCCAAGCTCCTCCTCACCTGCTGGAAGGAAAATTGATGCGGGCTTTGAATACACTTCAGCTCTGGGGAAATGCTTATCAAGTCGACGAGGGATACCTGGATAAACTATTATGCAAATCAACGGAGCTGCGAACCACTACAGCAACGCTGCTGGCCGGAATTGGAAGCATATTATCCTCTCGTGAGTGACTAGTGACTTTTGACTATGCGGCGTTGGTTAAGCAGTTTGGATGACAGGAGCTGACTTTATGGTAGGATTGCTAGGGTCTCTGTTTCAGACTGAGAAGAATCGATTAGCCGCTATTGAAAGCAGCAGAATCCAGAGTGCGTTAGACGATGCGCGCCACATCGCAGAGGATTATCAGTGGTTACATGACGACGATGAATTAGCGGACGAACGTGCGAATGCCGGAGGCGATTCTAACAGTCCACGAGCAGAAGAGGTTGAAGCTGTCGCTGATGGCCTCTGTGACTACTCTCTCGAGTTGATGCAGATGAACGATCTTTTCGACTCGCCATTTCTTCACGAGAAAGTCTCCAACAAGACGTCTGCTTTGCCACTTGCAGAAAGTACCAAGTCCTTGCTGCGTCACTCTGATGCTACCACAGGCACCATATTAAAAGCCCCATCAGTCCTTGAGGCCAGTCCTCCATTGAGCTCTAGTGTTGAAGTCATAAAGTCCTCAGAGACTCTCAATATAGGCCGTGTACAGAAAGAAGGACGATCAGCACTACATGACCTAAAAGGACCGCAAAAGATTCTTTCGTTTACCAGCTACTGCTATGGCATGGTGAGTGTCCCCCTTCTCTCCTAGCTTGTGTATGGGTGGCTGACACTCGTGTCAATAGATTTCTGGCAAGGTTCTGGTTCTATCTGGTTCACCTCTCTCAGTATCAGACTTGGTTTTCGTTCCGCCGGACAGACTTTACCAGACTCCAGAGGGCGATCAGTGGGCAAGCTTCGAAGAGCAAGTCGCTAATGTTTGCGCTTCTCTGGTGGAGTATCACGGAGTCAGCCTCCAGATCTCTGTCAGGAATGATAATGGAAAGGATGGTTCATCAGAGAAGACATCCACTCCAAAGAAAACCCCAAGGCACCAAAAGGATATCATCGCCAACATCATCATCTATGGGCCTCCAGCACTCTGCGAATCAGTTGGAGACTACCTGTCCGCTGCCGGGTTCTTCCTACAACATCCAACGCATTGTAATCAAGATGTGCAGTATTTGAACCCTCACGTCCTTGGTTTCGGCGAGGACAACCTTCAGTTCACGTCTGAGCTCTTCCCGGGTGAACCGCAAGACGAAACAGAACTTGACAAAAACCCTCTTTCGAACTTCTAGAGCAGTTCGGAGTTCGAAGAAACCGCTCAGCCAGACGGAATTGCGACTGCAATGGCCCCACATCAGAAAAAAGCATTGACCTTCACGATTGAGCGTGAAAGAGGGTGGAATGCCTCGAAAACCAGGAACGACTTCTGGAAAACCCACATCGATGCGTTTGGAACCACGAGATACAAAAACACTGTATCTGGCGTAACTCAGGCATCGAGACCAACATCGCTTCATGGAGGCATACTCGCGGATGGAATGGGTATGGGAAAAACCCTCAGCATGCTTTCGCTAATTGTCGCAAACCCGTCCCGCAATGACGAGTCCAATCAGCACGGGAAAAATGTCGTCAAGAGCACATTGATTGTCGTCCCCTCTAGTCTGTTGTTGCAAGCGTGGCAAGGTCAGATAAGGATGCATTGCCGTCCAGAACATGTTCGCTATCAGATTTTACATGGCCCTGAACGACACAAGGCTGTCAACATCGGAGACTATGATATTGTTTTGACCACCTACAACACCGTCAGCACGGACTGGAAGAGGAACAGCAGTGAAGAGGGCGTTGCTTCCCGCCCCAACGTTCTGTTCGAAACGTCCTGGTACCGTGTGGTCTTGGATGAAGCACACTTCATTCGCAACCGGAACACAAAAAGTGCAAACAGTGTCTATTCGTTGACGTCGCAGCGCCGGTGGTGCATTACAGGGACGCCCATACAGAACAGATTGACCGACCTATTCAGCCTTTTCCGGTTCCTGAGACTTGACCCCTTTGGCGATTACAAGGTCTTTGAAGAAGAGATCCTTGGGCCGTGGAAGTCGAAATTGGATGACATAGCTACGGCTCGTCTTCGGTACATTGTGAAGGCAATCATGCTGCGCCGTTCATGGACGCAAGTACACCTACAGGAACCAAAGGAATACGTCATTGAGGTTTCATTCAACGCTCAGGAACGTGAGGAATATCAGAAAGCTGCGACACAGGGTATCAGCGACTTGGACAGTGCCCTCGACACAGACCAACAACCCTTCAATTCGGTGTATTTGAACTCCCTCCAAAACCTCAACGTCCTGAGATTCATCTGCAACCATGGTATTCGTCCAAGTCGTCAAGAAGCTGAGCGGGATTCAAGCTGCGTATTCGAGACAGCTTCGCCAACAATCCCCAAAGAGGAGGCGGAATCCGGAGAGACGACACTTTTGCGCGATCTTCCCTCGGAGAAAAATGTCGATGAGTCTTCGTCTTTCAGGGCATCTTTCAGGGTCACAGATCCTGATGATTCTGACAACGAGTCCGTTCAGTCATTGATCAGCGGCGGCAGAAGTACGAGAGCTTCATCGGCAGATTTTACAGAAGAGGCTCCAGTACCGTGGGCTTTTAGCCTGGATCTGGTCTGTGTACAATGTGGAAGCCAAAACTTGAACCCGAGGCAGGACAGTTATGACTTGGGCAGTGGCACGAACGCCTACACCGAACACATTCCGCCTCAGCTCTGCAAAAATTGTCTTGAATACGAAAAGCCCGTATCCTTAGACTTGTCAATTTATACTGAACATGTAATGTCATCCGAGCCGGCAAGCCAGGCCGGACAGTCGGTCATGAAGCGGTCGACCAAGATCATGGCTCTGTTGAGTCAGATCACCCACGTACCAACAAGGGAGAAATCCGTCGTTTTCTCTTGCTGGACGCAAAGCCTGTGCGCAGTAGAGGACGTACTGTCGCAAAACGGAATCTCATGTGTTCGTTATGAAAGCACATCGAACTTGGCACGGCGACTACGGGTGCTAGATATGTTTATGTACGACCCTTCCATTCGAGTGATCTTGATGCCCATATCCTGCGCAGGTGTAGGCGCGGGTCTCACGGCAGCGAGCCACGTCTTCCTTCTGGAACCTCAGTGGAATCCGACGGTCGAGGCGCAAGCGATAGCCAGAGTCGTCAGATTAGGCCAGACCCAGCAGGTATCGGTGTACCGCTTCGTGGTTAAGGACACGTGCGAGCAGAGCATCATGAAGATACAGACGCAGAAACTCAGCCTGGCCAATCTGGTCGTGGACAGGTCGACTTTGCAAAGGGGTCAAGTTGGAAAGAAACAGCTTCATCAACTGCGTGGATTGGTGTCGTCGGTGTCGTAGAATTTATTGTATACGCGGAACAAAGATGATCCGATATGCCGGATCTGTCCGAGTTGGAAATTTCTCCGCATCTTCAAAACTTCTCCAAGTGCCCGAGAGTTTACATTGCATCTCATAATCACCTTCTGCATCATCTTTGATGGTCGTTGTCTTCCATGATCTTAAAGAGCACACCTACCAAAGACTATGCGCAAGTGCTTCAGCACATGTGCGAGAGTTTTCAGCCATGAGAACCCCTTAGTATGTCGGCTCACACTCAGACCTTTCCCCGCAAAAGTCGATTGTTCGTTGCCAAGAGCCCATTGCAGGGAGCAACATCACCCACTCTCGCTCTCCGTGCGACAGAAATGCTGAAGCCATACTGATCTTCTGCCCGTCTTCATCTCTAGGGTCTTCCCCGCTCCCCTGCACCAGGCGGCAAAGGACCACCGCCAACCCTCCCACGCGCCCAACGGGGCCTCCCTCAAAAGCGCCCGCTCCGCAATGTCAAGCACGCCATCGCCGTGTCCTCTGCCAAAGGCGGCGTCGGCAAGTCCACGCTGGCCGTGAACCTCGCCCTCTCATTCTCCCGACACGGTCTGCGGACGGGGATTTTGGACACGGACATCTTCGGGCCCTCCGTGCCGACGCTACTCGGCCTGTCCGACGCCGGTGAACCCAAACTCACCGGGCAAAACATGCTGGTGCCTCTGACGAGCCACGGGCTCCAAAGCATGTCCATGGGATACCTGCTGCCGAGCGAGTCGGCGCCCGTGGCGTGGCGCGGGCTGATGGTGATGAAGGCCCTGCAACAGCTCCTGCACGAAGTTGACTGGTCGTCTCCGGCACCCCTCGACGTGCTGGTCCTCGACCTCCCACCGGGCACGGGCGACGTGCAGTTGACAATCGGACAGCAAGTGGAGCTGTCGGGCGCGGTGATCGTGTCGACGCCGCAGGACATTGCGCTCAAGGACGCCGTCAAGGGCGTCGCCATGTTCCGCAAGATGAACATTGACGTGCTGGGCATGGTGCAGAACATGAGCGTCTTTGTCTGCCCGCACTGTCACCAGGAGACCAGGATCTTTGCCCACAGTCACGGTCCGAACTCGCAGCACAGTGGCAGTAGCAGTGGCAGCGGCCCGAGCGGCGCAGAGGCTAAGGCGGCGGACCTCGGCGTCGATTTTCTCGGCGATGTCCCCCTCGACGCGAGGATCTGCGCCGACGCCGACCGCGGCATGCCTACCATCGTCGCCGAAGAGGCCAGTGGCGTCAAGGTCAATTCCGGGTACTATGAGCGCATTGCCGAGAAGGTTGCCCGGAAGATTGGGTTGGCGTGGCAATGATGACGATCAGATTGTGCGAAGGGGTTGCGGGATGCACATTTATTTGCCCGATCCGTCAGGAGAGAAGATTGATTGGTTACAGGATGACTCTCGCTGTCAGGCCGCAGCATGCGAGGTACACCTGATGGCTGGCTGACGAGCAGCAAATCTGATCTGATAGATGGTGTCCTCGTCGAAGCAACATAACGTATCCCTACTGTTCACTCCCACCACTGACTCAGAGAGGACTGTGCACGCATGGCGACCATCTGGCCCTTCCAGCCTTCTTCTCCGTGCTACCCAGGCTAGACAGTATGTACTTATAGCGAGCTAGGTAGGGCTCAGCAGGATGTTTTAACAATGTGAGGTTATGTGATGTTCTATGGTGGATTTGCTGTATTTTGTATTTTGTACTTGAACCGGCACATGTCCTTGGCCTTGTACCCCATCTGCCTCCTTGTGATTTTGATATGGTATAGCGTATCTAGCTGTCTTGTACGATACTCTATCTTCCTACCTATTGTGGAGGACATTCATGGTGGTCCTCGATGTCTCTCTCCCTCTTGACGCTGTGACGCCGTGACGTTCCCTAGTATATTTATTTGTATGGATGAAGAAGATCCATCGTGCATCCCTTTTATAGTACATAGATACACACATACATACCTACATTAGATCCTTAAGGTTGTGCATGCGGCAATCACACGCTCTCCTGGCTGGATTGAATTGCATTGCGATTGGTATGTATCTAACCGGTCAACTTTGTCCTTGCACATGACATGACATGCATGAACCAGTTCGGAAAAGGCCCCGTTATCCTCGTGTGCGTAGCACGAACGCCGTCATCAAGACTCCTCATACTCTGCCACGTGCTCCGGACTGCGTGATGGCTTCCTCTCCAAGATTACCTTGCGCAACGTAGGCAATGAACAGAGCAATGGCTGACTGGCAACATGCAACCCTCGACCGCGAGACTTGCACGATTGTCACTCCGCATTTTGTCTTCGTCGGTTTCACTTGTCTGCTTGGAGGCTGGGATTCGATCGAAGGGGTATTCTCGCACAATGGCCAGCAGAGGTTACACGATGGCTCTCTGTCACCCATTACTCTTGTCAACGATGAAGCCTGACAGACGCTGTTGACGTGCAAGAAAGCGCCCTCTTCTGTGATAAGGGGAACTATGCGTGGTTGACATTCCAGGTCATTCGTCTGGCGGTAGCCTGAAGAAGGGGTCGACATTGCACACAAATCCCATCCTCGGAGCGGATGGCTCAATCAAAGGTTATCCGCTTGCCCTGGAAGGTGGCATGGCTTTGATCCTGCATCTTTCGCCTCTTCGCCGCTTCCCAAGAGGGATGAAGAGAGCCTTGATCATCACGCGAGTTTGCCTTGGGCTTTGGTGGGTGACCTGGGCGGGCCGTCGCATGACCCCCGGTCGGCTTCTGGCTGAGTTTTCTGTCGTGAAATCTGCCTCGAGGGCGGTCGCTGCGATCCACAGCACCTCTCTTCGGATCCCATCCTGCATTTTTCCCCTCCTTGTCCCTCTGCTTCTCGAGGTGTTTGGCCTTTTTACCGAACTTGAGCTCCGCGATTTGTTGTCGGGCACGCTGCCCACGTCGATTTTTCCGAGGTTTGGGCTGCGCGGGGCCTCGATAACCGTTCGCGTCATCTTCAGATTCTGATCCAGAATAGTAGCCTGCCACGCTGAGGGACGGTAAAAATGCAGTTTTGGTGGTCGGTCCAGTCGAGGGTGGCATTCGAGAGGGTCCACTTTCACCCTCGGATGAATCGCTTGGGGATGGGGATATAGAGATATCGTCGTCCCCAACATCTCTTCTGGTATTAGACATTTGCTTGACGCCTTGTTGCGGCGGCTCTGAGTCTACAGCGACTTCTCCATCGGACTCAAACTCATCCTCGTCTTCAGAAGACGCCAAGTGACCCTTTGCGAGTTCAAATATGTGATCATCCTCGAGTTCGTCCGGACTTTTAGACCTGTCGGTGGAAAAGCCGTTGAACTCGTCCTCCTCCAATGACTTCTCCCTCGTACCAGTCACTTTCCGGTGCACTTCTTTGGACCCTTTTGAAGCGACTTTCGGGTCCTGGGGAATTTCAAGTGCGGTGTACACTGTTTCCATGATCCCAGGTAACACCTGTTTGACAGGGTTCGAATTGAACAATCTCCCAATTACATTCGCCTCGGCGCTTGACTTGACGTGTTCCAGTGGAGGATCTTCGCCATAAGCTTTGATAAATACCGGATGCTCCCTGATTCGTTTCGTCTTGACCAAGTGCTTCAGAAGTTGATTCTTGGCCGTTTGCTCGAGCTCCAGCTGTTTGAGGACGACGACCTCTTCTCGCAGTCGCAGTAACGTCTGGGGGTCGTCGCTTGCATTCTTCTGGCGGCGGCCTAGTTTCTGTCTCTCAAAGCCTCGTGCCAGCTTTAGAGCATCTTGAAGGATCTTGACGCTCCGAGTGACTCTGGCCCTCAGGCCTGACACCTTTAACCCGAGGTATTGTGGCTCTTTTCCTGGCTCTCCAGAATCGTCACTGTCGCGTTTTCGCTTCGACATTGTCATAAGCGTGGTATAAGTGCGTCAAGGAGCTCATACGTTAGTAGTACCCATAGCAAACATGATTGATGTCTGCAATATTTGAGCTGTGATTGAGTATCTAGCAGAGGAAGGAATTTGATCAAATTATTTTCAAATGACCAAAACTTGCTTGGTGATGGTTTGCTTAGGTAATGATACTCCAACTAAGTCTAATGTGAGCTATCGCGCGCCTAGCTTCGGCAGCTCCCGGCAACTCTAGTACCGAGTACCCCGTACTTGTACCTGCTTCGTACCAGCACGTGACGTGGTGCATGGACTATGTACGAGGACGCCCTGCGGCCAGGCAACCGACAGACAAGACAGGGAAAAGACTCTCGTGGGACTCGTATACACCAAAAGAACTTCAACACCGGTCAGCTTGATTTCGGCAGTGCAAGTCATGCATCACGTCAGGAGAAGGCAGCAGCACCAGCAGGGCATCATCTTACCACAAGGTGCCCAGGCGCGCCAGGATTGTCTACCAATTGGAAGCTGATTCTTAGTTAAGGGGCCTTGAGGCTGAGACGCGACGAGCTGAAATCCCCCAAGTTCTGCCAAACCACCTCCTCAGTCATACTCTCATACTCTCATATCACCCAGGCTGCCATCACTTCTTCTTATTGTCACCATCATCAGCCAACTTTCATCTCGTCTCTCTTGTCTTTCATCGCTCTTGCTGCTCGAGTAGCCGTTGCTCTCCCACCATTCTTCACACAACCCAGCTAGTCTCTACAAGGACCACTCCTGACTACAAATATGGCGCTTACAGTCTCAAAAGCCCTGCTGATTCTATTGTCCCTGGCCGGCTTTTGGACGCTCTGGGGGTTTCCATATCAGAATGGCCTCCTCAAGATCTTAAGCCAGCAATCAGAGCCGGGCGCCGTTATTCCCGGCCCAACCTCAGCTCCCATGAAGCAGACCTACACTGGCATTGGCCCGATCGACAAACAACTGACGGTCTTGGTCAGCTTCTTCTACACTGCCATTGACGGCAACCGCGCAGATGTGTCGCTGTCTTTCCTCTACCTAGGCGGTCAAGTTCTTGCCGCATGGGTCTTAATCATGGTGGAGGGACTCCGAAATGGCAATCGAGGCAGTTTCCTGCTCACCGCGTAAGTGTGAAGCTAGATTGCGGAATGGGTTTCGTGACTCCATCTGACCATTGACAGAACAACGCTGCTTGGCCTGGGGGTTGCCATTGTAGGCTATGCTTGCGTCGCACCGTTGTGGTTTGCTCTGCACCTATGGACGTCGCCCACCGTGTCCAAACCCAAGGACTATCAACTTTACGTTGACGTGCCAATCAAAATCGCCATTGCACCCATCAGCATCCTCGTCGGATTCGGGCTTCCGTCCCTGTTGATGTGCCTTCCAGCGCCAACGATAGTGTCATTTGAGACGAAGCAAATGTGGACGGGGATTCAGCAGGGTTGGTCGATTTGGATTGGTCTGACACAATTGATCCTTACCTCTCTGGCCCTGAACATTGACCAACGGGCCTCCATTCTGACCGAGAAAGATAAGCGATCAAAGAGTGCCAGGTACCTCCGACTTGCGTATGCATTCGCAATCATGTCATCGGCGGGTTCCCATCTGGCGGCGCTGAGCTTGTCTAGCCTGGCTTACCTCTTTCCCGTTCTCTTCAGTTCCACCTATCTGCCGCAGCTTCAACCTGCTAGGATCTTTGTTCCTGTTGTGCCCTTTGGACAGCCACAGGTCAAGGTGCTCGCAGACGGTGCGCTGTGGTTCCTTCAGTGGGACATCATTGTCGGGATCTCAGCCTCGCTTCTGTGGGGTTTGACCGTACGAGATGCAGGTAGAAACGGGAAGACTACCGTTGGGCAGGCGTTTTTCAGTCTCATCAAGACCATTGTAACTGCGGGCTTGCTTGGTCCGTGTGGCGCTGCTGCTGTTGCCGTCTGGACTCGTGATGAATTAATATTGGGGAGATCTAATGCTGGGGAAAAGAAAGACAAGGGGATCTGAAGGAGAAGACGAATGCACAAGAAAGACAATGGCACCGTGGTACCGTGGACGGTTCCTGACTCTCACAGATATTTTTGGTCCTTTTCTGCGGGCGTTGGCTTTTTCGGAAGGTATTCCATGCTTTTTGGAGAACAGTGGTGGGATACGTGAATCTGTGGAAAGTGCCTACTAGTACAAGAGAAGGAGAAGGATTTGAGAAGATCTGATGATGGTCCATGGTGGCAATAGGAGCGGGCCAACCACCAGTGGACAGAAGACTTTTACGCGGTGGCACCTATTTTTGGGGGCGGAAAGAGCGGCCGTCTTTTAAACATTGGATGTTCCTTCTCAGTCGGGTTTAGGCGAGCCTGAAGCCTTTTAGTAACCAACCAAGCCTACTACCAAGCCTGCTTGGCCTCTGCTAGGCTTGAGTTACTACCTGCCCATCCGCTCTCTGTTAGGCCTGCTTGGGGCCGAAATGAATCTTTGAGTTTAGGAGGATTTAGTGCTATCGGGAACCATTCTTCAGCTGACCCGGGCGGGGCACAAGCGAGCCTTGGGAAGATCGATCTTCAATCACCTTCTGTTTCCTTGCTGGCCAGGCCGACCGGACGGCATCCTGCAATCACAAAGTCACTCAGCTGGGAAGCTACGGCGATGACGTGGTGCGTTTGGGGCTGCCACTTGTGCAGTTCAGCCGCTCCCAGACTGCGGCTCACTCCTGGCCTTATAGGGGACGAGGAGAAAAGTGATCAAGCCAAATCAACAACGAACCACTCGCACTCCTTCCAACCCTCGTTTGCCTCCCAGAAGATTTTCTCTTGGTGAGCTGGCCCTCTCACCCAGTATTGCACCATACACCAGTTCCTGCCACTCCTTCGGGGCTGTGTAACAGAGTCTACCAACGGAATCTGCCCTTCATCTCCCTCGTTCATGTGTACATAACACGGTCACCGTTCGTTTCTTCCTGTCCACCTCGCCTCGACCTACGACCAACTGCCTTAGCCTTGGCTGTAACATCGACCAAACGTCAGACTATCCTCCATGTATCTCCTTGCCGGCACGGCCATTGCGGCTCTCGCAACCTCGTGTGCCGCCTCACCAGGCTATCTCAAGCTCGGCCTGCAAAGAAGGGCCCCCCCTGAGGGCAGATTAATACGCAGACAAGACTCGGGTGGAAGTGTCGATGCACTCGTGACACAGAACACCAATAAAGCCGAATACCTGGTGAACATCACTGTTGGCACGCCCCCACAGGATTTAAGCGTTACCCTTGACACCGGCTCTTCAGATCTTTGGATTCCCGCATCGTCAGCAAAACTATGCCAGCAGGGCAAGTGCGACTTGGGCGCATTTGATCCAAGTAAATCAAGCACTTACAATGTTATTGAGGAAGGCGGATTTAACATAGTAAGCTCGCATACCCAGTGTAATGGAAGATTTGCGAGTGGAAGGGCTGTCAAACTGACGCATAAATTCCCCACAGACATATGTGCAAGTTGGAGACACCGATGCTGGCGACTGGAGTTCAGACACGATCACAGTCGGTGGATCTCCGTCCATTGAAGACCAACAGCTCGGAGTGGCAACTGCGTTGTTCGACCAACATGGAGTAATGGGGATCGGATTCGACACCATTGAGGCATCCAACGACAGCCCGAATGGCGTCTATCCCTCAGTCTTGGACAACCTCAAGTCGACCGGGATCATTGACCGCAAAGCCTTTAGCTTGTACTTGAATGACCTGGAAGCAACCAAAGGCGCAGTTATTTTTGGGGGAATCGACACAACAAAATATTCGGGAGACCTTGTTGCCCTTCCACTCCAACCCGGTCCAGATGGGAGTGTTTCGGAATATTTCGTCACCCTGACAAGTGTCTCTTTCACAGATTCGACGGGTCAAACCACTCAGTTATCGCCTGAAGGGTATGCGCAGGCTGCCTTGCTAGATTCGGGTACCACCAACACCCTTTTGACCAACGACGTCCTTGCCCCCTTGGCTCTCGGATTGGGGGCGGTTGTCGATCCTTCTGGAGAGGCCTACCTAGTCCCATGCAGTCTTTCGTCGGCCAATGGTACCATCGATTACTCGTTTGGCGGCGAAGACGGCATCACAATACAAGTTCCTGTTTCGCAGGTGGTGGGCGGTCAAGTATACACATCGTCAGAATTTGACGATCCGTCAGGAGGCTGTGTGCTAGCTTTTGGGTCTACAGCCGAAGGTGCTGGGGCCAGTATCTTTGGGGACAGCTTCTTGAGGAGTGCGTATGCGGTTTTTGATATCGACAACCAGATGGCAGCGCTTGCGCAAGCCGTTGAGAACGAGGACAGCACGAGTAGTATTGTGGTTTTCCCCACAGGAACAACCATCCCGAGTGCGACAGTCACCGCAACTGCAACAGGAACTCAACTCACCGAAGTGGTCTCGGAAACAGATATCCCGACTGCCAGTATCCAAAGCTCCACCCTGGTTCCAGGAACGCCGACATTCAGCTTGGAGGCGGCATCGTCGACAGCTACCACAACAGGAGGGTCTTCGTCGTCATCGTCATCGGCGGCAGCAAATAATGCGGTCAATGCGGCCATTCCGACCGCGGCTCTGTTGGGACTGGGACTGGCAGCGGCGGGAATGGTGGGACTTTAAATTTGCCGTTGTGTAATGCAAACGGGAGTGACTTTGGATTCGGTGAATGGCTCACACACGAATACATATAGCAAGCATCGGCGCATTGATTGAGCACTGTTTCACCCCGCATATACAAAGGAGTTATTGGCTCAGGGAGAGGTACGAGGTACTCCATATATACCTATGAACTAGGTACACCGCTCTTTCAGACGCCCACTGTGCCGCCAGATCGCGGTCCTATCGTGATTCGCGTCAGTCAAAACAGACAGATTACCCCTCCTTCAGTAACACTCGTAGAAACGCATGCCGTGAAAAAGCGTATTCTCCCTCAATTTCAGCTTTCGTGCGGATCAGAGACATCTACACTTCCACCAGAGCGGTCACTAGGACAAGATGAGTTTTCCACCACACGCGCTTCGTATCGGCACGAGGGCATGTGATTGGTCGCAAGGCCATCCCCGGCATCATCACAAGCATCTTCGCCGCTCCGCACAGTTATCGCAACCGCGACCACCGCAGCTACGACATAACTTCTGACCTTGATACCCCTCCATAAAGACAACCCCTTCTCTTCGTCCAGCTCATCTGCCTCCGGTCGCAACGTCCTACCGAATCGCCCTCCTAACTCCGTGCAATCGATCTGCGACACCGAGCACACTCAAGTTACCCCTCACACCATGGTTTCGATTTGAGTCACTCTCTAATCCCCGTCTCTCCGTCTCCGATCGACCTTCTGCGCCTTTAAACACGCCGTGATCCGTTGAGATTACAGCGAGGCGCGCCCAAGGTCACCGGAGACATCACTGATCCAGTATAACACATGAGCTACAATCTCTGGCGCTCTTTCTTCGAAGATGATGTCGATGCATTTCGACAGTACCTGGCCAACGCCACTTTCTCCTCCGCGGCACCGAGAACCCCGGGCGCCGGACAAGTTGGTAGCGCGGCGTTGAAGATAGGCAGCCCTGGAAATCTCGCTGTCTCGCCAAAGACGCCTTTTAAGTTTCGAAAGAGCTCGGGAACTACACCTCTCAGCGCGACTCCTGGGAAAAATGTCGCGCTGGTTCTCACGAGGGCGGAAGTGAATACCAAGGACAGTTTTGGTCGGACAATTCTTCATCATGCCGCGTCCTCACAGTCTGATGATGCCCTGGCCTTTGTCAAGGCCTTGTTGGAAATGCCTTTCCTAGACCTCTACGCCCAAGATTTGGAGAGTGGGTGGACACCCCTCCACCGTGCATTGTACTTTGGCAATATTTCAGTGGCCCATGCTCTGATGGCTCGGGATATACAAAATGCCACGGATTACACAACCAATGCGCAGCACTCCCTTGCCGGTGGACTGGTGAAAATCAAAGATCATGAAGGCAACAGCCCTTTTGAGGTGTTTGGATTGACTATTGCTCCCCGTTCTCTTCAGCAAGATTCCTCCACTCTCCCGCCTGGGATCCGAGACGACGATAGCATCAACGGAGTGGACGACAGTGGTGAACACCAAGATCATGACCGAGCCAGGCGTCATGTGACTCCCCTGATAGATCTTGCTGGTGATGAAGTCTACGCCTTTGGTAGTAACAAAAACCTGTCACTGGGCTTGGGCGATGGGGATGATAGGCATTTCCCCGAGCGCCTTCACTTCGAGCGTCCCGACCACTTGTTACGTCGTCTTCTCGACGATCATCTTGCGGAACGACGCAAGTCGTGGGTTCACGAAGACCTAGCGGACAGTGTTGGGGATCTCCAGTCACATTCCGATCTGCCAGCAATCATCCGTTATCGTCCCATCACGATTCAGAACGTGGTCATGTCAAAGCTACACACGGCGGTGTTGACCAGCGATCCAATATCCAATCTGTACATTTGCGGGTATGGACCTGGTGGCCGTCTGGGCACTGGTGACGAAAACACCAGTTTTACGTATCGCTGCATTCAAGCTGGTGGTCTGGCTAAACGACGCATCTCGTCGATAGCCCTTGGCCAAGACCATTCCGTGGCTGTGTGCTCCCAGGGCGAGGTCTATACATGGGGAAGCAACCGCTTCGGACAGTTGGGATATGCACTTCCCGAGGTATCCAAGAATGAAGTCCCAACCCAATTGATTCCGCGCCAGCTTTTCGGTTATATCAAAAAGGAAGTTATCATTGGGGCCGCAGCATCCGCTATTCATTCCGCAATATATACGGCTTCTGCAATGTACACGTTCGGCAAGAACGAGGGCCAACTGGGCTTGACCGATGCAGAGGCGCGCTCTCTGGAAATGCAAGTCTTACCGCGTCGTGTTGGTGTTTCGATCTTGCAATCTCCAATTAAATCAGTGAGCGCAATCGACCGAGCTACAATTGTTCTGCTCGAAAATCACGATGTATTTGTCTTCACGCATTATGGCTGGACTAAGCTTACATTCCCGCTGGAGACCTTCACAAACTACTATATGGGCAACAACCTTTCGACAAGATTCAATATGGAATCCAACTATATCAAACAGATAACAAGTGGTGGCAATACAATTTGTGCAATGTCTTCCTTCGGAGAAGTATATTCGATTGATGTTCCCAAGGTCCCGGAAACTGTACCATCGAACATGTCAACAACCAACCCTACCAAGGCACGCAATGCTCTGCCTGCACCTTCGCGGCTCTGGTCCCTCCGCAAAGATCATATGTCGGCCATTGACGTTGCTGTGGGCCAGGATGGGTCCATAATTCTCTGCACAGCATCAGGCTCCGCCTGGCGCAAGGAAAAGCGTGCCAACATCAAAACCGTACGGGATACAAAGTTGAGTCCAGGACGGCCGAAAGACTACAAGTTCGTCCGTATTCCCAATCTGACTGGAGTTATCGCTGTCAGGAGCAACGCCTTTGGGGCCTTTACAGCTGTGCGCAAGGATGTCAGTACAACCCGCGATCAGATCGTGCTCGCACCACCAAGCTTGTGGAGAGATGCTTTTCGCTTGTTGCCTTTTCGAGAATACGGAGTGTCGCAGACGGTCCCTGTTGCAGAGGTCGACGCGTGCCACGTTGCTCAAGCAGTGATCAGCAGAAGCTCGGCAGAAACGGACATCCTCAATATGTGTCAGCGTCACGAACCACTTTCACAGAGTCAATACGATGTATGGATCACTTCTACCGTCACGGACGTACGGATCCCTATTCACTCCTTTATGCTGAAAGGAAGAAGCCGGGTTATGCGCACCGCGCTGGCCGAAGTGCAAGAGACGTATTACTACTCAATTCCTGATGTCATGTCAATCGAATACGGTCAAGACGGCCAGATCCAAGTCTCCTTTCAAGGCGCAGACTTCCTGACTCTTATGAACCTCGTTCTATACTTATACACTGACAACCTGGTCGATGTATGGCATTATACGTCCAAGGCATTGCAGTCCGCTGCTCGCTTCAGGTCGGTACGCGTCGAGCTTATGAAGATTGCAAGTCATCTCGAGATGCGAAGTCTTGAACGTGCTGTACGAGTAATGATCAACCCCGCCCGCAGTCTGACGAACGACATGGAGCTTGCAGTGGTGGATCCCGATTTCTTCTCGGACGCCGATGTGATTGTGGAACTCGCAGACGACGCCGAGCTGCCTGCACATAGCGTCCTGCTGTGCAACCGATGTCCCTTCTTCGACGGTCTGTTCAACGGGAGAGCTGGCGGCATGTGGATGGCTTCACGACGGAGTAACGCTGAAGATCAGGCAGCCGCTGTACGTGTCGATCTAAAGCACATTGATGAGAAGATCTTCGTCATGGTGCTCCGACACCTTTACGCTGACACTGGAGAAGAACTCTTTGACGACGTTGTCACTAGCAGTTTGGACGAATTTGTTGATATCGTCATTGAGTTAATGTCAGTGGCCAACGAGCTCATGCTGGATCGACTCGCACAAATCTGCCAGAAAACACTCGGCAGGCACGTCAATCTCAGAAATGTGTGCCCCATGGTCAACATCGTTGCAGAGTGTACAGTCGATTCTTTCAAGAATGCCGCACTCGAGTACATTTGCCTGAACTTGGAAAGCATGTTGGAGCTGAAGCTGCTGGACGACTTGGACGAAGATCTGCTTGTTGAACTCGATAAAGTCGTCCAAGCCAACCAGTTAGCCTTTCTCCCTTTTGCCCGAAGCAATCGAGCTGCGACTGAGCTGTTGGAGAACTACCCAGAGCTGTTAGGTCAGATTGAGGCTGGCCGGCAGACGAGGATAGATTCTATGAGGCTAAGATCAAGACTGATTGAAGACGAGGGACGGTTTGCAGCATCGATGAGGTCGCGATACGGAAGCCTGGAACGCGCGAGCTGCTCGCCCCACAACAAGAACTCCTTACCAACGCCCGTGGATTCATCACCACCTAGTACTCCAAGCCGCAGCCCTGCGATCAAAGCAAACGACGCAGAGGATGACCTCCCGTTCGACATGGATGGCGAGGACCCAGAGCTACCCCCAGCGTCGAATAGCGAAAAGACCCTGCATGCTCCCGGCAGAAAGGATCTGTCTCTTGGGCGTGCCGCTTCTTCTGCAACAACAAAACTCCCCGTAAATGATTCACCCCCTTTGTTGACGAGGTCGCGGGAAGCAATTTCCAGTTCGCTAAGGTTCAGTGATGAAGACTCACCTGAGTCCGCTGTCATTGGAACAGCTACCAATGGTTTTGCGGCACAGAGAACTGCATGGAGGGTTCCTACTCAAGGTGTCAAGAAAGACGGTCTCAAGGACATTATGGAGCAAGCCTCAGCTGCGCGAGTGTCGAATTTGACTCAAGCAATGCAGACTGCTTCAACGGGATCAAAGGCAAATACCAAAGTTTCACAGAAGGAACGCAAGCGGCAGCAACAACAAACCAAAGAGCAAAGTACCAACCCCTCGGGTCTTTCGGCCGTCAAATCTACGACAAACAGTCCCTCTTCGCCATGGCAGGCAATTGCAAAGACTACCAAGCCCAATTCCTCACCGACTGTATTTGCACCAATCGAGGCGGTCAAAGAGGCTGCTATGAAGCAGCCAATGACAATGCGTCAGACCGTTGCCCGAGGCACCTCAACCACCGGTTCATCCCCTAAGGGATCAGCTGGTGCGGGACCTGCAATCGGTCTCACAGCTCCTTCCAAGCCAGCAGCTCCGCAAATCCAATCGATCCGTCATACACCACTGCCAACGAGGGCCTCAGCGGTTGACGCACGCACATCAATGGCTGAGATCTTGGCTCAACAGCAAATAGAAAAGATTGCGGTCAAGGAGGCGATAGCGAAGAAGTCCCTTCAAGAGATCCAGCAAGAGCAGGAGTTTCAGGAATGGTGGGACAATGAGAGTCGGCGAGTGCAGGAACAAGAAGCGCAGGCCAACGCGGCTGCTACCGCTCGTCGTGGAAAAGGCGGCCGTGCACGAGGGGGACATCGTCGAGGGGGGCCACAGGGGAAAGCATCGACAGTTATTGAGGCTGGTGAGCAGCAGAAGAAATCTTCAATGGGCTCGGCCTCGGTGAGACAGGAATCTGGATCAGGACGAGGAATTGGGCCAAGTAATGGGCAGCGAGGCAGTGCCAGCAGTGCACGAGCCCGGGGTCAAGGGAAACCGCAGCATTCTCATCGAGGGGCAAGGCATCAATCATGAAGGAGTCATAGAGGCCCAGAGAGGGACACGATTTTGGAGAAAGAGTTTTTGTACATCATGATAGAAGGGATCTGCTTCTGTAGGGGCGTGGGAGAGTCGCCAGTTGTATCGAAACACGCTAACAGTGGCTGAACAAGGAAATGCTTCTTTTGCCCTGGTCCCAATCAACCTGGGGCCTTTCAGTCCCATGAGGTGCGTTAGCAGAGGAATGGTCCTCCTCATTGGCAGTATTCTTCCTGGCGACAGACGACTAAGGGGAATGAACATCTGTGCTCGTAGAAGTCCTCGGGTAACCAGGTCCTGCATCAACAAAGATGTCGTACCATACCAGACACGGAAAAGCTCCAGCGGCCTGGCAGTTCAGATTCGTTCTAGCACCGGCACTTTGCAGCGGCCCGCACACAAAAGGGCCGCACGCGTGTTTGCCTGGAAGAAACAAGGAACAATAGAAAGCTGAAGATCAAGGCTAATGGCATAAACGACAAACCTCACCACTGATGCCTTGGAATAGCCAAAGGGGAGCCTACAGGGAACAGGCAGCAAGGAGCACACACAAGGAAATTCTTTCCTGGTTTGTTCCAATCGACCCTCCAAGCGTGCTGTGGAGAAGAAGCCCCGGCTGGATTGACGAGGATCCATCCAGTCAGCCTTGGTGATTTTCTCGAGACAATAATAATGACTCTGAACGGACCATTCGAGGGGGCGCTGTGGTGATATTTCCCCCCTTTTGTACCAAATGAGGACCTTGGAATCAGCCTTAGTGCCACGGGGAAGCAGAGGTTGGCGTAGCCACGGGCGGATTCGGGACGAGGTGGATTGATGGGGTTCGCAAATCGATTGGGTTGAGCCATCGCCAGCAGATCATTTGCGCGAAGGAAGAGGACGGGCTTCTGCGTTTGAAGCGGGGAAGGAATATGAATGGTAGAATGAGAGGGAGCTGACGACCTAAATCGACATGTGGCCTTGCGAGATGTCGACATTTTCGAGATTGTGTGCGTGGGAGAATCTCAATCGCCAGACAAGGAGGCATGGGGGGGACGTGACGGCACGGCGGCACGACAGAAAGACGCATGTCAGTCAAAATAAAGCAGCCTATGAGGCGCACTTGGATGGGGGTTCCATCCACAGGGATTAAGGTACGATGCAGGCGATGCAGGCGATGCAGGCATAACCCAGGGTCGTGCATATGGGGACATAATATGATAGCTGGCTAGTAGTAGCAAAAAAAGAAGACGGGAAATAAGAGCGGTGATGAGAGGGAGTATCTGCAGGTGAGAAGAGTGTAGTGAGCAAGAAAGAGCTGCAGGGAGAAGAAGAGGTGATCGAGTCCTCTCGGTATACACGGTACTCCTGCTCCTCTTCACCGCAGCCGTTGTTTGGACGTTTTTCCCTTCACCGGCCAGCCCACCGCAGGCCACCATACAAGTACTCGTACTCCCGTAGACAGGGCCAAGAGATCGTACAGTTAGTCAGGTACTAAACTCGTTTGGTTCAACAGCTCCCACCCTCTCTGCCCACCCTGCCCACCCACCCCCAGAGCGCATGATGCGTGAAACCTGCTACTACTACGGCTGCGCTCTGCTGCTGCTGCTGCTTCTCCTGCTGGCCATCCGCCCTCGATATACATTTTTCCCGACATTCGATGACTCTTCCAGTACTTATCTCTTCCCTTTCTGTCTCCCACCTCATCGTCCTCAGTCCTGCTCCACCCCCATTCTGACTCCTGCTCGTGGTTGCCTGCTCACCTCTATCCTCTCACTTTCATCGCCTTCGCATGACCCCAATCTGACCCTGGTCCAAAGTACCTCACGCCGCCTGCCCGCGCGACCTCCAATCACATGCGGCCTTCGTCATATGCCCACGACTCGAGACCATCTTGAACGGAAGCACCTCAAACCCTCAACCACATAACTCTCCGCTGACCATTTCCATCCCACTTTATCCTTCTCGGTCCGACGCCACAATGGCCCCTTCATCGACTTAGTCTGGTCTTTTAATTACGTCCATCAGCCTTGTACATCAAAGTCCCAGATGCCTTGACCGCTACCCTCACCTGCGCCAGGACTGCTGCATACGTTTTGTGGATATCACATCAATGAAGAGCAATGGATGGCTACCGAATACCCATCAGTCCCAACTCACCCCTTCAACGCTAAGCCAGGCACACTGGAAGTGAAAATAACAGCACCCAATTTACGTTCAAGATCCCGTTTGACGCAATATGCATCAACACCCTCGTCCGCCTCCTCTCACAGCATCCCCCGCCGCCTCTGAGCAAACAAACCCTAGCCGCACCAACAATCCAAGAGATCGAGACGTCCAGGCTCTCCGAACAAACTCTCCTCTCACCCAAGGCTCCGGTTCGTCCGAGGACTTTGCTTCTGCCCGTCAAGATCAACCTGCGGACAACCCCGGCGTCCAAATGCAGAGGCTCAATCAGGTCATCCAGAACTTCCATACCAAGTCCGCCTTGATCATCCTGCAGTCTCGGGTCGAATTGGCACCGGCCTACTCTCAGAAGACGAACGATAAGAGAGTGAATCGGTGGTTCAACATTGACATTGAGGAAACGGATGAGTACAAAGATGACATCAAGAGGTGGAAGACATGCGATGTCGATTCCAACAGGCCTCCTCCGTTGGTCATTGAGGTTTTCCTGAGCACCGAGTCCTTGCAACAAGGCCAGCGACTGGTCATTGTGGACGAAGACGGCAAGAGATGGGATGTCATGAATACCTTGATGTCAGCCCATAGTGCTTTGCGCGGGAACCAGCGTCGAATGGCGGACATGGATGAAGTCATCCTCGAGCGGTGGACTATAGAACTCGGTGAACCGACAGCTCCCATCCCTGCAGATCTCGCTATGGTGCTGCCACTGGTTTACAAAAAGAGCATTGTTTTCTTCAGATCTCTCTACACCTACAGCAATTTCCTGCCAGCTTGGAAATTGTCGAGGAAGATTGGCAAAGGACGCTCACACATGGCGATGAAGCTGGGCTATAGATTGGTCGACGGCTCTCACATGCGGAGCTTGTCTCGCTCCGACAATCTGGGCACACGACTCTTCGACAGCAACTCGGGCGTCTTGTTGTCCTATGATTTTGGTATAACAGATTCACCTGCTGGGCCTTTTTCTGTCAAGGTTGATTACCGCCAAAACTGTGATTTTCGGATAGACGACTCCGAGGAGTTATTGAGCTCTCGGTTTTTGGGCGCTGATGATGAGCTATTTCGGCCTTCATTACCCAGTGAGAAGACGCCAAGGACAGAAATTGGATCTTTGCCTGCAGATCGACGACAGAGGCTACTGGAACAAGCAGAGCTGGGTCATGCATATGGGAGTCTGACAAGCTTCCACCAAGCAGGTATTGCTACCGGAACCGATCCAATTTCTGCTTTGCGAAACGCTCAAGACTTCAATGCAAGCTCTCCTCCTACTCCTGAACCAGCAAGGGCAGCTGTGCCCTCGCAAGCAGCAGGCCAAACCTCGCGCAATTCTCTCAGAAATGCAGCGGTCAACCGGCGAAGTTCAACTTCGTTCTCCGTCCAGCCTTTCAAGACACCCACTTTGTCAGCATCTCCACTGGGCGTTTCTCCCATGGCCAGTTCGCCAAGAACCCATTCTGCACGAATTCCCGTCCTGGGCTCCTTGACGGAAGAGGGTATTCCTTCCTCCACAGCGGCCCCTGTTACTCTGGCCGGGCGACGAGCTGGATCTCTTGCCTCGGACAACGCCATCGCCTCTTCCACCTCAAGTTCTCCAAAACCCGCTCCTGTCACGAGATATAGTAGTAGTTTTAGCCACAGACGAGCTCGGCTTTCTTCGGGAGGAACAACTGTACGAACAGATGAAGACCAGACGAGCAGTGGAAGAGGAAGTGCCACCTCGTCTGCTCAGCCTGGTTCGGGACTGATGACAGAGGGACCCACAGCAGGTGGCAGCTCGGGTTCAATGGGAGATGACGACGGAGAGAATATCTCGAGTTTCTTGAAGATGCTGGAACAGCAAAAGGACCTTCTCACTCCTACAACCACGACGGCTGCCGAAGCAAACACGAGGAGAACTGCCGCTGCGCTGAATCGATATCACAGAATGCGAGATTCCAATGCTGCTTTGTCGGATTCTATGACGTCGTCGTTGATGTTGCAGAGATCGTCGGCATCGTCCAGTCGACAATTGTCTGGGGTTCCTCCTATGGTAGCGGGCACCTCTATGTCCACCTCGTCCTCTCCTGGAAAGCCAATCTCACCTCACACACCGCACACTCCCTTTGCTCCGTCTCGACTTAGCGCTGCTTACAGCCATGATGACGCTGACGAGCCGCACCGTCTGGCTCCCGAAGAGCCACCATCACCGTCCGAAGCTACAACAGAGGAGACTGCACACGCTCAGTCAACCTCCAATGTTCCTGCCATCGATATTCCCAGCTCCCCCAGGCCTTTTTCGTCGTACCAACGTTCAAGTTCTGCTCAGCGCAGACCATTGAGCTCAGACGAAGACATTGGTGATCTATATGGGATGCGAAGTGCCAGCATGGGAGCTGATCGTCGGGGTCACCGCCGGGAATCTGCCCAAGATCATGCCAATGGGGCTGTCGCAGATGGACAGATACCAATCCAACCACCGTCCATCGGGTCACCTCGACGATCGTCCCAAGTCCATCGCCATTCGGGTCTGGCGACAGCCCTTACGAACGATGACGGGGCTTCCGAGAATTCTGGCTCGGGTCGATCCACTGCTTACCGCAATCAGGTCGCAGCCGCCAGAAACGGCATTGGACGACGAGCCACACCACCTACAGGATCAGCATCAAGCATGGGCGGAACTCGAGGCAGTATTGACCCCGGGGGCAGCAGTGGCAGCGTCCCATGGCGAGGAAGAAGCAGTGGGAGTCGACCCGAAAACCGATTCGACGATGACGATCTTCTACCGTTCGCAATGGAAAAAAGCGATTTTAACACGGCCGGGAGGGCAGGTGATGGAAGTTGCCGAGAATAGA